CAGAATTCCAGCTGGCTGGGGAATTCTGGGAGTTGAAGTCCACACATCTTAAAGTTGCCAAGGTTGAAAAACACAGTGGTAGTCTCACATCCAAATTAGCCTTGATGGCAGTGGGGCTGCCTCTGAAAGCCACGTGCTGGGAGACTAGTGGGCTTCCTTGGGGAGTTGGTTGGTCACTGTGAGAATGGACTGCTGGACTAGATGGGCCAGGGGTCCGATCCAGCAGGGCACTGCTTAGATTCTTAAACAGTAGTCTGATCTGACCCTTGTTTTGCTTTGTCTTCCAGTTCAGTCAAGGTGCTCTTACCTGAGCTGAGCATTTTCTGTTCCCAGCTGCCGCAAAGTATAAGCAACTCCTCAAAGTCAGAAGTACTTGGTATGCGTACTCTGCAACATGTGATTTTTGTCTTGCCTTGAGAGAGGGCGAGATGGATACAAATGTGCAGGTATGCGAGTGAGGTCACCTTGATCACTGTAAGGTTGCTGTCAGCCCCTCTAGGTAGACCAGACCATGAAATCAACTCCACAGGATGTCTAGAACTATGTTTATTGAGATTGGCTATAACAGAATCTTGCAAGTCTGACTGTGCTGTACCCCCTTCCTCCTCCAGTGAATTAGGGAGGGGTCTGAGCCACTTCTGAACGTTATCTGGATGTTCTGGACTTAAAAAATATTGGGCAACAGCACCTGCATATCTCCAAGGTCATCTTCCTTACCCTCTACAGCTCCCAAAATGCCAGTTTAGGGAGCAAAAAGTCTCAATCTCAACGAGGCTGAAATTTCCAAATGCTATCCTTGTTTTATTCACAGTGGTTTATTTGGAATAGACACATCCCAAATGCTGTCTTGGCTGGGTTATCCCATTGCAGGCATGTTGCACAGAAACAATTTCTATTGGAGAATACTTAACAAATATTGAAACCACCATGAGGTTTGACCATGGGATGCAAGTCCAAAGTTTACATGGAGGTGTGCAGAGATATTCATTTCAGTTCCTCATTCAGGTAGCCTGTGCAGCTCCATTTCACAAAAGAAACTTCCACCTTGTTTAATTTCACAAACATGAATACACCCTTTTTTTTTTAGCCGCAGAAGAGGCTTAGCAGTTTGCTGGCAAGATAATAGTGTAATACCCTGTAAGTGCAACAAGAGCTATGCATGAGCAAACAGTATTTACAGTTCTGGGAGAAAGAACTTTACTGTTACAAGAAGAGCCAAAGTTTGTAAGATTTATATAGGGCAGAGCAGGCCTAAATCAGCCCTGACTGTTTAATGATTCACATGGCTGCCCCTGGTTATCCCTTTAATTGAACTGCATTAACGGGGAAAACAATTACCTTTTCACAATGGCAGACTCCACATCTGGATGATTTGGTCATTTGTTCACTCAGGTTCTCTTTATATACTCCCATGAAGCCCTAACAACATACAGTGGCAAAGATATACAACATTTTTTAAAAAAAACCCAAAAGCTTTTTTCACAGATTGTACATCTTCCTGCTGCAGCTGTTAAAAGACGGGATTTTTGACTGGATCCCTTCCTTCTATGTACCGTGAAACTTGCAAAATACTGAACTGATTAAACAACTACACCTTCATTAGCACTGATAATTCTGTTTCCTGATTAGTGCAAATGGGAAAAAAGGTTGCATGGGTTGTTGAAAGATAATATTGATCACACCACCTGACTAGAAATATATACTGCAAGCCATGAAACATGTCGAGCCCTTCCAAAGTACGTGAAGGGCAGAGAGAGAGAGTATACAAAAACTGTGTCAAATCAGACTCAAGGCCAATGTTCTGTTTTCAAAATGACCCATCAGGTACCTATGAGATTCCAACAGCAAGACAAGTCACAACAGAGCCATCTCAAGTTCCTTTGGTGCTGTGGGTGAAAAACAATAAAATATGCCACTATACCAACTAACGTGGGCAAAATAAAAACTGCAGCCAGACTTAAACCGAATGTTTGGGTGTTGCCACAAAGATTTTCTCTGCTTGCTTTCTGTTTTGCTGCCCTCAATACTGTAGTGTTGAAAGTTCTCTGTCTAAGAGAAGCCTCGATCATTTTACAGAGAAAACAACACAATTCAAGGGCCACATATTCTATTGTCCTACAGAAAGATTCCACTGATCACCATCAGTAGGGATAAGCAAATGTTTCCCCTTTCCCCCTCTTTCAGAGCTCCTTCTCTCTCTCTCTCTGAAGCAGCAGGAAAGCAGCAAACTACTCCTACCAGAGATCTAATGTGATCTATTACAGAAGGCATTTGAAAATAGGTAGAGGATCACATGGCCCCAAATCGATCATACACTGCCAAGGTGTATTGTATCTGTTTTCCTGCTGGATGAATCAAAGAGCACAGCATTTTCCATGTTCTTCAGCTGGGACTCCCTACTAGCATTAATCAGTCTGAGAAAGTAGGAGGTAATAAAAGGCCACGTTCTACACAACATGCTAGCAAACCCCATAACTATGAGCTTCTCACTGCGCTGCTCAGCAGTCCATCAGCAACAAGAGAGCCAAGTTCACAACTTCACAAATGCAGAGGGCCAATGAGATTCCTTGAGATCAGCTAATGGAATCTAACTTTATCTGCCCAAATGGGGCTCACTGTTCCACAATATCCCACCACAGCAGAGACATAGCACGGTGCTCAGTATTTTACTGTCAATAATCAATACTTCTCTATATGTAGATACAAAACTTGTATCATGTTATGTTTTGATTTCATGTTACCAGAATGAAGTCATACTGTGGGAAACTTCAGCCGTGTTTTTCATACATAAATACGCTGGCTTTTGTTCTTAAAATAACAGGTCAAAGCTAAGCTTTATTCTGGCAGTTGCCTTTAGTCTTCCCCTTCTAAATTAATCACGTTTGCATCAAAAGACCTTACAGTTGCATAAGGTGTCCCATGATCCTACAGATTCTTGAAGATTAGACTGAGAATCTAACTGCTTCAAGGCCATCCAGTAAAATTTAGTGATAAAGGAGTTCTGAAATGATCAAAGACACTCTTCATCTACTACGAATGCAAAGTTCTGCTTAAAATTAAACTATCCTGAATCACTGTAAACAGCTAGCCATTATTTGTGGTTTGCTCACTTTCCCCTATGATAAAAGTGCAGAGGATTCAAAGGGATTTTTTTTCTGGGAATCAGCCCATGGAGAGGTTAAAGCATGAGCAGCAGAACTAGGGCTACTAGCTCTGGGATGCAAAAGTCAAGCAAGCACTAGGGGACAGCAAAGAGATCCAGAAAACGGTATGTGCTGCCATCTGGTGGTCATCTGCATTTCTGCTGCCCAGATGTAGCAGTCTTAAGGAAAATAGTACAACCATCTCCAACTCTAGGATGTGTCAAGAGACAGGGGGAAGGTGGGAAAATGGACTCTCTGCCCTGAATTCAACCTGATTCACAAAGAATTTGGAATAACTGATGATTATACAGATAAAGTAGAACCCAACACTTCCTGTATCTGTTTTTCCATTTATTTCAGCCATAAAAAGGTATTCACTTTCAGACATGTAATATTACAGAAATAATTGAATAAAGGTGCTATTTTGCAGAAAGACATTGAGAAGAGAAAGGCAGGCATAAGGAGCAATTTACACAACTGGTCTAACCTTATTTCTCAAGTCTCTGCAGCTGAATGGTTAGCCTTCCTCCTGCACAGCAGAATGCAGATTATCTTGGTGCACCTCTTCTTTCCTTCCTGAGAAATAATGAAGCTAGATGGTTGATGCCAGGGAGGAAAATAAACCAGGCAATAAACAAGCAATTCAACCAGAAGCTCACTGGGAAATGTTGACTTGCATTCTCTATAAGACAACAGGCTGATTCACATATTGCATAAGACATAATGCAGCTGGTTTGTTTTTGGCTTAGCTTTATCAATAAACCATGTTACTATGGCTTGTAGAACAAACCATGGCTAAAAATCTTGGCACAGCATGTGTGACCTGAGCCCAGAAATGATAAATTGGGGTTTTCTCACAAATGGAAAACAGTTGAAGTAGCAGAAAAATGAAGAGTGGGCGGGCTATACTTGCTTGGCCAACCAGGATAGTCTGTAAAACAGGCGAAGAAGAGCAAGCTGCGTAAGCGGTACACAGGACTGTGGAAGAAGACACTCCCTGCTTTGGAAATATCTGGTGTTAGACATAACCACAGCAGGTGTTAAAAGACAGGTTAGGAAAATGTGCCTGAAGGTAATGAATCCATTCTCCACTGTATCCTTGTAGGTATTTCAATTGTTTAATTTCCCGAGTTGCAGGGGGCAGAAAAGAACTATTACAACTCCCAATTTGTTTTGTTTTGCTTTACATCAACTCATAAGAATACCTTGACATTCAACACACACAACTATGGCACCTATAAGGGGGGGGGGGGAAACCCAGAAACCACAAAACAAACCTGCTTGAATATTTGATTCTATCACCCCAAAACAGTTTGAGATTCTCCTACTGATAACAATGTACATTGTACATTACATTTATATTTTGTCACTATTACTTAGAACATCAAATGAATCAGATTCATGTTATACACCAGCACACAAAAATATGCATGAGAGACTCACATACAAAACCATGTGGTAGCCCATAGAGAGATGGCAGCAGCCAAGTTCCTTTCGGCCGTACAAACACCAAGTGGATGGTAACACAGATTCCAGAAATGGCACTCTCCTAGGATTGGCAGCCTAGTGGGTTTGCTACATCTTGGAAGTTGACCTTAAAAATTAAAGTGCTCTTCAAAATGTCTTCTTGATGCGAGATGACTGCAAGAGGAGTCTGTTGCTGCTATGCGGGATGCAGCAATGCAAATATGAGTAATCATCCACTGCCATGATTAATAGCCTCAGATCAGTAGTGCATCCCACCTCCTACTTCTAGCATACATTCAAGAGTTTTTGTTTCGCTTATTAAGGCGGGCGGTGGGTCTGGGCGCCTAGTCTGCACTATCTTCTGCTTGGGGTTCTTCACTTCATCTTCCTCTTCGGTTTCGCTTTCACACACATGGACCACAACACTCGGAGTGGATTCGGTTCCAGCATGGAGCTCATACTTTTCCCCTAGAGAGTACGACAGGCATGGTAAACGGTCCTTTATACCGTGTGTAAAGCAAGAGTCTTCTCTTTTTACCAAAGTTGGCAATTTCAAATAATTCTACTGTACCTTCATCCTAACAGATGCTCAGATACCATACCATAGTTAGGATACAATGAAAATATTACCCCATAACACTCAGATTCTATACAGTTAGAAGGAAACAAGACTGTACAATTATAAACATTAAAACAAATTGAAAACATTCAGGAAAAAAGCCTTAAGCAATGAGTATCAAAAGGATCGAAGCATTAGTGTGAAATGATGGTCCTCTCCTTTCTATATACATACGGCTGAATTGACATGACATGCTTTCTTTGGACATTAAGATAACATGTTTGGTTAGTTTTAATCCTGGTTGGTCTCTTTGTGGCTTATTCTATTGTAAACCCAAGTCATTCAAATAATTTATGGCTGAATCCAAATGAGTTACTTCAGTTACCATGTTTAGTGTGTTGTAATGTAATCATACAGTAACCATAATGTACTGCATCCAGTAATATTATTTAGAAATAGGTCTAATTTAAAATGTCAACTTATACACAGGGTGAAATTTGGGTTTCTCTTATGCACAGAGCCTATATTTTAATGCTATATGATTTCTAAATTGAAACAGAATGAATAGAATTTATTTTAGTTCATGTTATTCTGTGATTTACACTCAGCTGACCATGGTTCCTGATATTTATAGTTTGTTCAGAGCTTAATAGATAATTTTAAAAACCTGAAAGTTGCTATGTTCAGTTATTCACAATTAATTAATGATATACTGGAAATGACATTTTTAAATTCCTAATTTAATCATTTGTATTTTATTTTTTCATACCTTTCTTTATTTACTTTGCCTGTTTATACACATTTTTTGAAATGTTTAATAAAAATACATTAGTTTCTGAATATTTTGATCCTGAACTGCTAATGCCTTTAAAATGAGCCCTTGAATTGGCCTGAAAACAGGGAGGCAATATAATCCTTTGAGAAGTGATATAATATGGTTCAATCTAGGGCAGTGTGGAGGAACATGTGGCCCAGATGATGATGAGCTACAACTTTCAGTCTCTCTCACCGTTAGCCATGCTGTCTGGGGCTGCTGGAAGATAAAAGCAGTATCTTTCCCAAGCCTGAATTAGGTAAGGTAGCCAGAATTTTTCCTGCCAAATCCTTACCTAATTGGAGATTCCAAGAAGTCTTCCAAGGAGTCAGTGAGGTAGAACAGATTGAAGACTAATTTCCTGGACTTGAGAATCATTTACCCAAAGTATTAATTTCAGATTACTGGCTCTCATCCAGCCCATTACCATACGCAAAGTACAGTGCAGAAACCTAGCTTGATTCACCAGGGAACTGGGGTGGACGGATCAAATATGTCCTTCCTCAGCCATGGAAACGCCAAGATTAACAGGGAGTGATTTGTCCATGACAAAGAACTCAAATTCCAAATCACGTCACTATTCCCCCATGACAAAAACCAGATCTAATGGGTGACCCCCCGCTGTAAATTGTACCCTCAATAATCTGGGCCAGGTCCATGGTTGCCATAGTGACCATAAATTCCCAAACTGCCTCTGATTCTATGCCCAAGGAAGGCAGAGTCCTCCAGAACTATAAGCCTGGGGACGTTCATTGCCAATCCAGTCAGAGCACTGAGCAGCACAGGTAGAGAGGCTATTATGCAGCAGGGAGGCCGGTACAGGGACAACAGTCCCATTTGATCCCTAATGCCCAACTTCACAAATAGGGTCTTACATCCAGTAATCTGTGGAGCAACATCCCTGCTAGCCACCAGAATCTCACAGTTATAGTTATAGTTATAGCCACTCCATCACCCCTGCCCTGGCGCTGTGACTGGTGCCATAGTCAAAACCTGGGCGGGCACATCACCCCAAGCTCTTGAATGATCATACCTACTGTTTACAGATTGAGAATCTCTGGTGCCCTCCAGAGATTAGACATCAATGCTCCATGTCTGTGCTGTGAGAGCTCAAATCCAATAATTTCAAGGGCACCAGGTTGGGGAAGGATAATATAGTTGTACAGATAGAATTTTATAGGACCTCACAGAACGGATGTCATGTAGTTGAAGAGAAAGCCTCCAATATAGCATTTTGAAACAGACTCTGATAACATTAGATATTGATGTTAACCAAGACATCATACTTGGCATCTGTTTGACCATTTGCTATGGTCTATCATGAAAGCCCGCTTTTATTACTTTTTATTAACCTAAGAACCTAAAGAGTTCTGAAGCTGGAAGAGACCAAGAGTCTACCTAGACCAGCAAGCTATGTTCCAGATTGGCCAATTCATGGATCTCACAAACATGAAAAGATTAACTGGCTTCTTCTACTGTCATTTTAAAGGATATTTCAAGTCTGCTACCAGTGATTCAGATGGTAATAAACATCCATCAAGACTCATAGTCATTGATAGCCTGATTCTTCCACAAATATGTCTAGTTCCCTTATAAAACTATCTAAACTGGTCACTGTCATCATCTTTGACAGGGGTGAATTCCTCAGTACGATGCACTGTATAAAGACAGAAGTATCAGTACAGAAAATAGAAAGAAAATAAAGCATTCCTACCAGGCCCCAATTTTGAAACAGCACAAAGCAAGTCATAGTTTATCATAGGAGTAGCATCTTCACTCTGCTTCCATCCTACTGGTGGTGATGCAGGTGGCGATATCAGAAATTGTTTAACAGGCTGGGGGGGCAAAAGGTAAGATTTGTCTCCCACTTCACTGGGCACCTGAACCTGAAAGAACAAATGTTGTCAGAACAGTAAGACCCATAACTTGTCAGATTTTTTTTTAAAGTCTTTCTAGTCCTACTTTTCCCCTTTAATATTTCCAGCAGATTAGGATGTTGGGAGTTGTTGCATATCACATCTAGAGGACACAACACTGGGAAAGCTATAAAGATTATTTGGGATTGTTTTTTCACTGGTTGGACAAGACACTGGATACTGAATGCACTGTTAATTCTCTTCTAGCTACTTGAGTTAAACATTTACCAGGCTAGTTAGTAAAGAACACATTGCTTGAGCCAAATTAAGGGCCCATTTAAGTCCCCATCCATTTTAGGTATCCACTTATTCAGTACAGGATTCTGGCAGGAAAGGTCACTCCTACTTTATTTTACAGCTGCACAACCTGCTGCAGACTCCCTGCTGAATCAGTGGCAAAGCTAAGATTTTATCTCCAGCTAAATCCAAGGGCATGGATGAAGTAAATTTTTTGGTAACCCTCCAATATTTTTCATTGTCCATATAGCCACGTAGATAGACCTACAGTTTATGGCTAATGGTGCTGAATTCTAAGCAGACTGGAATGAATCAACAAGAAGGTGGGAAGCTTCTGTTGTAGGGTTCCATACATTGCAGAGTTCCTTGCCTATTTGTATGACTACCTGAAGGGAAATAAAATTGTTAAGAGAGACATTCTACATAACTGATGCAGGACACAGAAATAATATCCTGTAAAAAAAACAGCATGTTTTAAACGAAGCGTTCTTTGCCAAGCCCAGAACACTGTGGGTGTTTTGTGTGTGTGCTTGTAGTACGGAGCGCAGACAGACCTGATTCTCTGAACACTAAGATACAGCACATCACAGCACATCTGAAAGAAACAGAATGGTCTGCATGCCGATGACTTTCTAGACAGGAACTTTTCTATCCTTTTTGTTTGTCAGCTCTCCTGATTCGAGTTATTTGCGTAGGATGCATTTAACTTCTCCAAGTCCATTTTTGTGGTGAAAGGACCACAAGTACTCTATGAAAGCAGCCTATTTCACCCCAGAAGCATCACAAAGTAAGCAGGCTTTGCCAGCAAGGACTTCAAATGTGCTTTAAAAGGCAAGATAATCATACCATAACTCAGTGTTTCTCAACCTTGGCAACTTTAAGATGAGTGGACTTCCACTCCCAGAATTCTGGGAGTGGAAGTCCACTCATCTTAAAAGTTGCCAAGTCATCTTAAA